TGAAAATATGCAGACAGCTTTCATTTTTCTCCTAATTTATTGGTGTAACTAGTCAAAAGCAAAGGAACCAGAAAGATTAAGGAAATGTGTAAAAGGTGATATACTCAACATGGAAACTCAGATGTAATATATAAACCATAGCTACAAATATCCATACCTCTATGTCACTTCTATAGTGTACCCTATTATCCATGTAAATTACTCAATGCAACTATTTGCAATATCAGTTTTAATGCTTATTCTGGTGTGTAGTTTTTTACATAGAATCCTGTTGTCAAATTCTCTGTCCTACAAATTATAGCTGCCTATTAAACTTCAGCTTCAGTATCACCTTCTTTGGGATGATTTCCTTGACAATTCTAATTTGCATTAGATGACTCTATTTTTACTCCCATAAATTCTCATATAAATTTATTCTATCATATCATTATTCTTATATTTAATTTACTTGTCTGTCTTCCACAAAAGATATTGTGGCTCTACAAATAATGTTAATATGTTTTTCTCTTTCTACTTGATAAATTGTAGAAAAAAATAGAACACTTAATTATTCATTCTTAGGCTCCTTATTGATTCAAATATAGAGCGAACATAAACATGACCATTATTGACCAAAATGGGGAGTAAATGAACATGGACAATTTGGGAGGAAAGGGTTGAGATAGTTAGATTAACTAATAAGTTTTGCTTGTATGCCTTTTAATTTTACTGCCTTCAATATTCTAGTTACAGAACACAATATAAGATAAATAATAAACTACAGATCATGACTGCTTCTCCTTTAAATTTGTTCTAGTGTTAAATTCTATAAATTATGATTGAATTTCTAAAATATTATTTATGATTTTATTTTATATGTCCTCATCAAAAAAGCTCTAGAATTACAGCAACATGGATTTTAATAATTGTGTAAAGAAGTGAACAAGACATGGATATCAATTGTTTTCTTGGTGCTAATAAAGAATAAAAGATACACCTGAAACTAATAAAAAAAATGAAAGAAGAGAAGACATTTCTCCTCTTAATAAAGAAACCTGGTATTTTGTCTGTCTTTTTAAAAATTATTTGATATGTATACGTTTGTGCTTAAAAAACAAAAATGATACAGCACTCATTATCTACTACCCAATTAATGGAACACAGCATTCAAAATTTGTTGAATTCTTCCATTTACAAGTTTCCAATAACATTCGTTTCCATTCCCATTTCTACAAACAAAAAAACCCTGCTATGCTGAAGTTGAACTAATCAATCCTGTTTTTTACTTTGTAGTTTTCTAACTGACATATGTATCCCTAGACAATACTATATACGGTTTTGTTTTACCCAATTAATATACACATTTGAAGTTTATTCCTTTTCATTGCAATATAATATTTAATTGTAGGATAATAATATACATCATGTATTGATTCTTGTGTGTTTGGGTTGTTTCCAATGTTTATGGTTATGGAGAACACTGCTATGAAGATTGTTGTACTATAACCAATGCATATAAGCCAGAGTTCCTCAAGAGTATATATCTAGGGCCGGCTGAGTGGCACATTGGTTAAGAGCTGGCCTGGGACGCCAGAGGGCCCCGGTTCAGATCCCACATATGAGGGCCAGTGACACAGCCCTTACAGCTAAGATGCTGAACAACAGCTCAACCTGGAGCTGGGCTGCCCCTGCGTCACCGGCGACGGGGTAGGCTGCAGCCCCTGCTGCAGTGGGTTGCCATGGACTACGATGTGTAGCCAGCAGCCAGTGTGAGCGGCCAGCAGCTGCCATGAGCGGCTGTCCAGAAACCGGCGACTGATCTGCCTCGCCTGGGAAAAGCGCAATGATGGTGCCACTTGGGCCAGTGAAGCAACGTCCTCCACAACTAGACTGAAGAACAAAAAGGACAGCAACTTGTCTGTTCCCCTTCCCCAAATTCCCCAGCACTGTTCCCATCCTCCAATTCCCCAATAAAAATCTTAAAAAAAAAAAAAAGAGTATATATCTACTAGTGGAATTCCTGAGTCTTAAGTTATGTGCATGTTTGCCCTTTAGATAATGACAAGCTGTTTCCATAGTATTTGTATCTTTTTACACTACTGTCAGCAGTGTGTTACTTCTCACTGATCCATATCCTGACTAACATTTATTGTGGTCAGACTTTCTCATTGTTGTCAGTCTGGTGGGTGTGAAATGACATCTCATAGTGATTTTCATTTTTAATTATCCTGATTACTAGTGAAAGTAGAGAAAAACTAGATTATAAGGAAATGTCGAGGCCATCAGAATTTTGCAAATTGCTGTTCCAAGCCTTCTCTGTACTCTCTTCTTCTGAAAGTTTGAGTTGATATATGTATCAACTCTTACCACTCTATCCTACATACTTATTACTTTCTTTTTTAAAGTATTCTGTTTATCTCAATGTGTTAAATTCTGTGGAATTACCTCAGCTCCATTTTCCACATTACTAACCCATGATTTATCCATGTCTTATCTGTTATTTAAACCATCTCTTTAATTTCTAATTTCAATTTTTTATTATTTTGGAAATTCTATTTTGCTATTTTTTTCCAACCTGACTTGCTAATTTTAGTAGCCTCTTGTTTCTTTGTAAAATTTTAAATTTCTTCTTTCATATTTTTAAACTTATTAAGCATTGTTATTTTTAAATTCTTAACTGATAATTCCAACATCTATAGGTTTGGAGACAGGTGACTCGTCTTGCCTGTAATGATTCCGTGTGTGTGTGTGTGTGTGTGTGTGTGTGTGTGTGTGTGTGTGTGTGTGTTTTGGGGGGGGTTATTTTGTTTCATAAACTCAAATCCTTTCAAATTTTATCTTCAGTAATTTTTTGATATTTGGGTTTAAACATACTTATTCACAGGAGATTTTTATTTACTAGTTTTAAATCTGTGCTAAAGTATTTGAATTTTTGTAACTTTTGGAGGTGACTGCATCCTTTATTTAAAGGCAGATTCTTGTATCTAGAGTGTTGTCAAATGCTAACATTTTAGAAATTACTAAGATGCCCATATATTTTCAGTTTCTCACCTCCTTCATGTCTTCATAGAAAAGAAACAGCACACGTGGATTCTTTCTCATTTCCCACCAAGATTTTGCATGTTCATACCAGGAACCATAAGGAACTAAAATTAGGAATAAAAACAACATAAGGGCATAGTATCATCCGCATACAGCTTGAAAATGAGTGTTCAAACAATAGTAGCTACAAATAAATATAAATAAGTGATCATGGAATGAAAACTAGAGATCAGCCGCACACCTTAAGCAATTTCTATACAGCAAGAAAGGCAAAGTATGTTGAATAATCCATATAAAGAAACATATTTCCAACTTTCATCATTATGACATGGTTTATGGCACAGAGATAAAGTGAAGGAAGTCCCCCTCCCATTAAGTTGATTCAGAGCTTATGCGAACATTTTTGAAACGTGTGAGCGCGCGCGGAGTTAGTGGAACTATCAACATTCTTAGAATTCAGTCCAGGTCTTCAATTTTCCATTTAAAAACTAGCTTTGGTAACTGAAGCTAGTGACTATATAATTGTTTATTATACTACATGAAGTTAATTGGTAAGGGGTGCCCCCTTGGGACTTTTAGTGTCATTGCTACATGAAGGTTACTGGTAAGGGGTGCTTTCTTGAAATCCTTAGTGTCATTCTGACACTAAAAAATTTAGAAGATTTTGGAGACAATGTGATATGACCAAATGCTGTCTCTTCATTCTCTTCCCTTATCTTCTGTCATGTATATCCAAGGGTTTCACCCAACAAAAAGATGACAGAATAATATGTGTGAATCAAAGCATTCCACTTTGCATTAAATCATTACATGCCTCTTTTGTTCTTTGATTCTAATGGCAATTTGTTTTTTACAGAAAACAGTTACATAATAATTCTTATAATGATCTTATTCATTTGTTTTGTGAAGGTGCAACTGCATCTTTCTCTTACAATGTGTTATTTGATGATGTTGAGGCATATGAGGTGATCAAACAATATGGTGAATGTTTAAATTTTAAAAAATGTTAAAACAAGAAGACAAAAACAAAAAAAACCAAAAAAATTTAATAAAAAAAAAGAAAAAGATAAAAAAATTGTTACAGTAAAATTCACATTGCCTCTAATCCCCCTCAAACTATTCCCTCTCACTTCAAATATACTTATCCCATCATTCTTGCCACTTTCTGAAGCAGTTCTGGAAGTCCTCTTTCTTGAGTGTCTTTAGTTTTGCTGTTGTGGCTGCCTCGATGTCCTGAATCGTTTTGACTTTGGGGAAGAGCCAGAAGTCACACGGTGCCAGATCCAGTGAATAAGGTGGATGAGAACACACTGTAATGTTTTCATTTGTCAGAAATTGCCATATACCAGAAGCGATGTGACATGGAGCCTTTCCGTGTTGTGATAAAATAGAATGAATGCCGCTGCAAGTGCCATCCAATGGAAAGGCAGGGATCTTCAATATGGGAAGCTGCCCATCTAACCTTAGTAACAATGTGTGACAAGTTTCAACTTGTTTGGTGCAGTCAGTCAGGTGTGAGCTACGGTTGAGAGAAGATGTTTTAAAGTGTTCCATCATGACAATGTTCCTTGTCACACATTGCTTCTGGTATATTGCAGTTTGTCAAATAAAAACATTATGATGTGTCCTCATCCACCTTATTCACTGGATCTGGCACCATGCGACTTCTGGCTCTTCCCCAAAGTCAAATGGATTCAGGACATCAAGGCAGCCACGACAGCAAAACTAAAGACACTCATGGAATAGGGCTTCCAGAACTGCTTGAGAAAATGACAAGAATGATGAGATAAATGTGTTCAAAGTGAGTGTGGAGTATTTTGAGAGGGATTAATGGCAATGTGTCTTTTACTGTAATAATTTTTTATTTCAGTATATGTTCACCATATTTTTTATCACACCGCATTTATTTTATTCATGATGCCTTAGCAATACATTTTCCCAAAATGTAGCAACAAACATAAAGCACACATATACTACTTTTATTGAGTCAATATTAGCTTCTATGGTTATAAAAGTGGCATTGTTATCATTTTCCTTACAATTATCACTATAGCATCAAAATGGCTTTCTTCAGTTAATACTAGAATCTCCTGAACCCTTTTTTCCTCAAATCTAAATACTCAGTTGCTTTAATCTGGAGTTAAATAAAAAGGCAAAGTTTCCTGGAATTTATGCTCAAATAATTCTTGCACTATTCTGAGAAATGTAGTTGAATCATTCAGACTGCACACTGGGTAAAATGAATAAGAACTACACAGATATTCAGACTTCTTTGTGAATTCTGGCCCCACCTAACACCTGAACTTGGAAACAATGGGGCAATATTTTTCCCCTATTCCCTTCCCCTTCTTGTTCAATGGAGTTGTAATTAACTTGCTGTGAAATACTTTTCTAATAAAAAAAGACAAGAGAGAGAATTGGGCACAGTTTCAATCCTAGAGAGAAAAATGGTTACCTCCAATCCCCAAACATACTTCTATATATATTTTAGGCATTGAACTGACCTGTCATATTCTGCAATTTGCCATCCATATCAGGAGACCCTATGGTTTCTCTAAAGTTCAAGGGCATCTAGAATATCTGTGTTTTAATTGAGGATCAGGGAAGATAACAGACCAAAAAACACAACAAAAATTTTTGCTCAGAGATGCCATTTGTCTTATATCATTTACCTTGAAAGAATTCAGGGAAAGAAGCTATCTTACCTTCTCCTTCCATGAATTTCTCTACAAATTCTGGAAAAGATCCAGGATTTGGATGAGCAGATACCATTAGAAAGAAATAATAATAAGAAACAGCCACATCCTTGGCATTCCGACAAAGATAGATCATCTAAGAGGATAAAATCAAATATTAAATCACCTAATATTTTTCAAATATAGTCTCATCAAGACTTAAAAAAGAAAGCATTTATGTTTTCAATTATAAATATAATACATATTTATTTTAGAAAGTATATAAAATGTATAAAATTATAATGAAGAAAAGTCCTTCAACAACCTGAAGTGACAGCATCTTTTGTGGTGTTATTCAATGTTAGTTCTCAACATTGTTATGCCATTTTCACATATAATACCTTATTTGAGTATCACAATTCCATTGATACAAATTGGACCAGATAGATAACTATCCCCAATTTATATGTGAAGAAACTAAACTGAAGCTGAGTGAGAATGCATCACTGAGAATAAATCAATGAGAGTAAATGATTTGGTAAATCATTCAATCAACAGTAAAGTCCTCTGATCTTTATACTATACTACCATTCTGTAGACTAAAGGAAAAAAAAAAGTTCTGTTGTTTCTACACTCACGATCTTAAAAACAAACAAACCAAAAATATATTTATGAGGGGCTATGTGCACAATGATCTCAGTGAAAATATAATATTCACCAACACCCTGGTAAGTTTCTGTTTTACCTGTAGAGGAAACACCAACAAATTAACAATCAGGAAGCCTTGGTTTTAGTTGCTAATTCTGGCACTAGGAACTTCTATCATCTCGTGCAAAACACCAATCATCTTAGACCCAAATTTCACCCATTTCCTTTTTTTCCCCCACTTTTTTATCACTTATAGTTTCTGGTCCACACCTTCATACACACTTTCACTAATTGTCTCAATCCATCTGTCTTTTTGTCCCACGGTGAATATCCTGGAAATACTCAGAAAATGAGTCCATCCAACTATTTTCTACTCTTTGATGATCTCTGATATGAGAAGCAGTTTTGTGAAGACTGAGACTATTGTAAAAGTATAGTATCTATTTCCATTTGAAAAGTAAAGGAGGCTATAACCCATTCTTCAAAGGAAAAATAAAGTAACTTAGATCTCTTGAAAAAAATGGTAATGACACATCTAAAAAATATAACTGAGAGAGTGTTTATGTATGAAATGAATTCAGCAGAATGTATGTGGTCTACCTTGGATTGCTTATGATAAAAGAAAACAAACAAGAAATATTGAGATCTCCAGAATTTTGGGTCATGGATCTCAGAAAAGATTTAACACACCATGTAACATCAGAGTACAAAGTGGAAATGTTTTATGACTGATAAATCCCCTTTTGGGTTAGTAATGACTGCATATAGTCCTTTAATACCTTATATGTGTGGTAATGGGTCATAGTGTGTCCTAAAAAAAGCTAGAAAGTCATTGAGGAATAGCATCAGTGTTCCAAGACTTAATGTTTTGTTTGTATTTTTGGTTACTCATCATTTTTTCTAAAAAACAAAGCTGATCATGTTAATCATCAACTTAATATGTCTATAACTCCTCATTATCATGCAATAGAGTCCAAACTTCATAATTTCACTTCAACATCTGTTGTAATCAAGCCCTAGCTTATCTCCCTTCACTCACCCAGTCAATATGTACACTCAACTTTCTAGTTAAACTAAACTGGTTTCAACCCCCCCTGGGGTTGCTTCTGGGATTATATAGACTAACCACAATAAATTCTGCAAATATTATCCTGGATGCCTTCTCTGCCCTCAAGGTGTAGGCTAGAATTTTTTCTCTTGCTTAACCTATGACAATGCATTGTCTGTTTACTTGTCCCTTTCCCCTAATGGACTATTGGTCCATAAAGACAAGGATTGCATATGTCTTGTTAATTATTATATTGCTGGTGTGTGATAGGCCCTCAATAAATAATTATTATATAATATTTGTCTGGTTTAACTCTGCCTAGTTCATTTGCATACCTCACAATACCAACCACTAAAGTTTGCCAAAGGAGTACATTCAATAGTAATAACAAATACAAAAGTAGCTACCATTTATTGTTTGCAATATGCTAGGCACTTTGTTAAGCAGTTTATAAACACTATTTCATTTAATCCTTATAACAACTCTATGAGGAAGATGCTATTGTTATCCTTCTTTTACAGAGGAGGAAACTGGCTTAAGAGAGTTTACTTGTTTTTTCCAGAATCACCTCTGGAGTTGAAATTAAAATATAGACTCTGACTATACTGACTGTAATCTGAATTTGTTAAATACTTATAGATTTAATGAAAGAATACATAAACAAGTATGTATATGACACTGTTAGACTTGATCGTTCTAAAATTTCTTTGAGTTGGATAAAGTTTTAAGAATACTTGACTCTAGTTACCTTACAGTTCTTTTCCCAAAATGAGGCTGGAAGAAGCATCACTGAGAGATGAGTCTTCACTATTCTAGGCGATGCCATCTCTTTTAATTGTTTTATTCCTGATTTTTTAAAAAAAATTAAAGGTTAGACACCTTCAAAACAAATCTTCATATGGATTTTATAGACATTTTTAAAATAGAAGTAACTTTAAGATTCTATATTGTATTAATAACAATAATATATATTCACTATGACAGAAGATTAGATAGAGGAAATGACAGAGAAAAAAAAATGCAACCAAATAAAAGTTTACCAATTTAGAGAAATCATTATTAGCATTTTGGTGACTAGCCTTCTATATAAATATATCCCTGTATGCCCAGACTCTTAGCCATTCAAATACCACACACAGAGATGAATTTTTAATATTTTATAACTGACTTTTTCCCTCAATATATTACATTATACTGAAACTGCAATGTCAAGAAACATAACATCCTAACATTTTTAATGATTTTCACTGTTATATCACTTTTAAATATTCTTGTGTTTACTAATATTTATGGTGTTTCTAATTTTTCACAATATTAAAATTATCTGTGAATATCCTTTTGCATAGATCCTAAAAAAGAAATATGGATAGTTTTCTAGTGTTTAAAGTATTATCACGTTTAGCCCATAGAGACAAGTGCTCATACTGCTACACTCTACTGAAGATATTTATGAGCTATCTTTATTCACTCTTTGCATGAGATACCACAACTCTGTCAAGATTTAAATTTAAATTTACATGCTCTGCTATATAGAACATATAATACTAATTGCTACTCTTGAGTACAGTCTCTTTCCTTGTACCATCTACATCCACACTTAAAAATATACGCATATAGCTTTTAAAATCAACTTAAACATTACCATTCATCACCTCTTCTTTTCTGCATTCCAGGAAAGGTACTCGATTAAAAATGACATCTTCTTTGCACTTTTCCACATCACCTTCTTTATAAATCATGTACACAATTTCACTAACCCAGGTTGTGCCTGTTAAAATTAAACAAACCTGAGTCTCCCACTGACCGTGCTGGGCTGTGAATGGAAATGTTGGCGAAAAATATCCAGCCTAGGAGAAAACTTATAAGTTTACTTAAGCCAAACTGACAATTGCAGAGAAACAAAATCTCAACGGATTGAGAAAATGCTCTGCAAAATGGTGGTTTGCAGTTTATTTTATACATAAAATCAAAGGAGGAAGGTTGCATGAAATCCATTGGTGATAGATTAAGGGGGTGGGAAAAAGCAAAGAGGAGAAATCTCTGGGATTGGATAAAGGCACACTGGAGAGACAGGTACTTCTTTTACATAAGTGGGTGCAGGATAGTTAACAGTTCACTTTTTACAGCACACAGAGATGGTAATCAGGAGACAAGCATAATAATGAGGAATTTTGCTGGTTTCCAGTTCTGGTTCAGAAAAAGGATTACTGACATTCCAAAGATGTTATCTTAGGTGCAAAAAGACAATAGGCCCACTGAAAGGCACAGATTAACTTTATGAAGGAATCTAAAGATGTGACTTTCCACCATGGCCAACTTAGTTATGAAATTTTTTTATGCTCATGCCATCTTATGTAGTTATTTTCAGTCTCCTGAGCGTGTCAGGTTTAATGTGTGGCCCCTTTTTTTGTCCACACTTCTCCCTTTTGGTCATAGATCAACCCAAAAGATGCATTGATGACCAACCTTCTCGATAGTGTAGCCCCAGGGTGATAGATAGGAAGGCTCATTCCTAGGAAATCTTAGTGTTAGAGCTTGTCGTGCTAAATGTTGGACCATTGGGGCTGGGGCAAGACCATAACCTTAGATGGCAGTTAAGGTCACATTATTTATTTATATTTAAAAGAAAAGTTGAGCAAATGGAAGGCAGTCAGAGCTTGTGTCTAAATATATTCTGTATCATTTCTAATCTTTGAGCTATCATGATCTGAGTAGTTTTGTTTTTTTGTTTTTTCAGGAATGCTAAAAAGGCACTATGTAAATCTATCACTGAAAAATATTGGCAATATATGCAGGAATAGTTGGTAATAGAGTATGTGGATTTGGAACTGCAGGATATCTCTTTATAGCTGAGATCCTGTGCAAATCTTCATCTTTTCCCATTGGGTTTCTTCTCTGGAAGGATAGGAGAATTACAGGTGCTCATACATGGAATTATAAACCCCCCTTTTAAAAGTAATCTTGTACAATGAGCTAATTCCTTCTCGTGTTAAAGGATATTGGCAAATATTAGGTAGAAGCAAAATATTATCAATAGCTATTTTAATAGGAGGGGCTGACTTAATCTTACCAATCAATATCTGTGCTGGAAAAAAGCCTAAAATTGTATTGAAACATCCTGTAACAAACATTCCATCAGTATCAAGACTAGTTTTCTCTTCTGGGGCTCATGGGATGACCCTGAGGTGGCCTTGGAGTTGGCCTATCAACTGTAGCAAAAAATCTGACCTGTCTCTGGTCTTACTGTTCCTTTCTTTCCTCATTTTCCCTGTCTCAGTTGTTAAAGACATTTAAGTAAATTTCCTGGCCTTTTCCAGCATATGAGCCCCTTTATCAGGGATGTAACAGTGGGCCATAACCATTACAATATGCATTAGGCTATGCTTCCTTGCAGTGGCATGTCTCTGAAGCAAAGGACACATGAATTCCAGGAGTCCTAAAATACAGAAGTTTACATAACTATTAGCAAAACTTAGTTCTTAGATTTAGTTCTCTTGAGTAACTAAAGACCTAATTACAATACAAAATATAAAAAAATATTTTGATGACACATAATTTTTGCTTCTCAGGCAGAAAACTTTTTATAATATCAGTAGCAGACAACAGTGTTATAACAAACTTTGTCCTATTTAGCATAGAGAGAAAACTTAACTAATTTTGCACCAGCTTATTTTTGATATTTAAATTACTTAATCACATTTAGCTTAACCATACATAAAATTCTTTCAAGATTTTCCTTTACAAACCTTCTATAACTTTCCAAGTTCCTCATAGTTCTTCTTTTTTAAAATCATTATTTCCCCAATCTGATTCATTTAGTCCTAAATACATTTCACCCTTCTGGGAGGATATGTGAACATCATTGATTAGAAACTCTCACACTTTCTAATCAGGTGAAGTGGGGCAGATCTAAGTAGCAAAAATAGATGTTGCCCCTTAACATTTCTTAGCTGGAGAGGAATAGGTTCTGATTTAAACAGACATTGGTTGATCAGATGTCCCTATCATTTGTACAGAAGCTTTACTCCATGGTAGAGGGCAAGTTAGCTGGGTGGTGTTAACAGACAAAGTAGCTCCAGTGTTAGTAAGAAAGGGAAATGCTCTCATAGTCCTTGGAGCGGCTCTGTTTGCTTCTATTTCCTTTCTTTTTCTAAATCCTATTTTAGTTTTCTACAATCCTTAAGGTGACCTGACTTTTTACAATAAAAGCACATTCCTCTACAGTTTCCCTAGCAAACCTTTAATAATTCTGTTGCTTTACTCTCAGAAACCAGTAGATGAGTTGTGGGCCAACTGAGTAATCCCCTCCCCATCCCCCCACTGAAAGACTTTTAAGATAGAAGAAATGTTAAGTCTCTTCCTTAGTTTCTTAGTCCCTTAGCCCTTGGCTTTGATTACTCTTCTAATCAGTTTCTGAAACCTAGACTAAAGATTGCCCCGAGACTGAATCACAGAATATCTCTCACCCACCTTGGCTTTAGATAACTACTTAAAACCTGTGACTTCCCAACATTCCCCAAGCCATTCTGGACCTAACTCTTGGGTAATCCCATCCCAGAGAATAAATAGATTTTAACATTTCCCCAGGCCAGTATACTTTTGATTTTGTGAAGCCTAATGTTGATTGTGAAGCCTAATGTTGCTTCCAAACCCATAGCCACCCTACACCAATAGCTTTGCACTCTGCTCCTTAAGAAATTCATTAATTAAAATCTATTTCTCCTCATTTAGGGGCCTTGGGGATACAGAGGGCACCCCAGCAAGATTGCCAGTCACAACCAAAGAAGCTAACATGGTCTTCCAGGTGGATCTCGAGATCCCTCTCTCTCATCTAAGATCAGGCAGGGCGAGAGTTTCGTGAGTTACCAATAGGTATGGACAGCTCTACACCCTGCTCAGCAGGAAGCAGATACAGAAGAAGAGACCTCCTGACCCTCAGCTTTCCATAAAGATTTTATGGGAATCATGTCTGTCAAGGGGAAAACAAGGCAGGCAGTTAGAGGCAGGCATTCGGTCTCTGCATTCCTGCATGTCCCACAGAATGCACTGCCCAAAAGACCTCCCCTCTCCACCCAAAACTTCTCTTTTCTTCTAATAAACTCCTTTCCTATAGAGATGAGATCAATCAGGTGGTCCCACACCCAGAAAGGAACAGCCCATTCTAGAGAAAGGGGATAAAAACTCCAAGTCCTGGGAAGTTGCCCCCTTTTGACTGCTTCTCCCTCTTTTTGACTGCTTCTTCCCTTTTTGACCCCTTCCTCCCTTTTTTGAGCCTCGCCTTTGCAAGTGGCCCACTCCAAACTCTTTGGAATATAATTTCTCTTTTAATAATGGGCCTTTGAGCCATTCTCTACTGCTAGGGCCTACTTCTACTGCTTTGAAATGTACTATCTTCTAATAAACTGCCTTTTTACTACTTTGATCCAGTATCTTGTTCAATTCTTTGCTCGAGTTGCCAAGGACCTGGACTTCACGCCAAGAAGGGCCCACTTTCTGACAACTGATGCATTAACTGGAATAAATCAGAAAAACCAGGATTATATGTTTTAACAGTTAATTCAAATTCCTTTGCGAACTCATCAGGGTCCTAGAGAGGGTCAGGGGAATCTTTAGTGGATTTCTTAGTTCTGTCTGCATACAACCATGGATTTCCCTCTGCCTAAGACCAACTCCTCTCCAAAGGGAGCTGCAACAGAGGTGCAGAGGAGAGAGACAGAGGAAAAGGAGAGCAAGTCCAGGCAAGTAAAGCACATACTGGGACAGTCGAAGAGGGAAAAGTGTGGTGTTGGCATTGAGCAGCTTCAGAAATCTTTAGTTCAGAGACAGTCTCTAAAATTTTCTTATAACTTCCTGGAGAGAAGAACATCTTTCTGTGTACCATTTCAGAGGCTTCTATTTGCCAATTGAGGTAAGTCTCCCATTCCATTTCGTTTGATTTTCTAAGCCACTTTTTTCTAATTGTGTATACAAAAATTTAGATGGCAAAAGAGCTCCATTTTGGCCATCTTAAGTTGATATCACTTCTAGATAAATCTTTTCATGTCTGTAAGTACTTGCAAAACTCCTAGGAACTGTACATCTGCAGAATTAATGAGGAGGAAGTCTGGGAGCTTGTTGGCCTTTTGAGGTATGATTTCCCATGTTAATTTTTAGCTTTCTGAGATCTGCAGTCTGAACAAATATCTAGTGATATTGTGTAGTGGGTTGAAGTGTGCTGCTTATGGCTTGAGCTCCAAGGGGCTGTCACCTCCGGAGTCGCTTCAACCCTCTTACGTGCCTCGGTTTCTCTCCCTGGCCTAGTCTAGTACAACCGTGAGGACTCGGAGCACTAGGTAACCAGGCCTTTATGTGCGCATCCCTGGATGAGCCAAATATTTAATTACAGTTGAATTGGAATTCCCTATGGGGACACTAAACATTTTGAGGGGTACCCTCAAACACCTCCACAAAGATTCTTAGTCACCTGAAATTTGAGCTGGAGAGAGTAAATGCCCCTTATCTTTGGAGTTGAACAAACTGGCTCTCATTTATCCTGCAAAAAGTTTTGTTCAGATTCGCAGTAAGTAAATCCAATTGAAAAGCCAAAATTAAAACCAGCCACCTATTTTTTTTTCTCCTACCCCTGATTTACCTTAATTCTTGTCCTTAACCTGGGTTATTTCAACCCTAACCTTTAACACCTCCTCAAGGATTTAAGAAACAAACAAACAAACAGCTCAAATAAAGTCAGGGCCTCCTACCTTAAATCAGGGAGGTCCGGAACTCCAA